TTTGAAGGACCATGGACAAGACTTTCTGGTGGGCAACCAGTTTAGCAGGGCAGACGTGCGATTACTTGAAACCCTTTTAATGGCGGAAGAGTGCAAGCCTGATATACTTGCCAAATTTCCTCTCTTGCAGGTAATTGAGTAGACAGTTTTAATGGGAAGCAAATCAAAGCAGAACCATTGGTTTACATCGGGTGAGAGACAGCGGGGAGTGGGAGGGTAAGGAAAGACAAAGCCAAAATGAAGCATCCTAAGTGATGTTAGCCTGCCTCCTGTAGTGGTGGTCATTGCCTTCTTACACCACTATAGCCACCAGGGCTCTGAAAAGCATAACAGGACAAAGCATAGAGAGTCTGCTGATCAACCCACAAGGTTACTCTTATGGCACGGGTAACATTCAAATGTCTGATAGTAACCATGGTTCTTCAAAAAAAGTGCTGTTTTGTTTTTGTTTTTCTAGAGTTTTAAAGCAAGAATAAGCAATGTCCCCACCATCAAGAAATTTCTGCAGCCGGGCAGCCAGAGAAAACCACCACTACAGGAAAAAGATCTCCCAAAAGTGATGAAAATTTTCAATATTGGCCAGTGAGCAGCAATCTAAAATCACAACCACCCTATTGCATTTTCTCTGTGTTTCCTGAGAGTGGCAAAGTGAAATTAATGAAAATAGTTAGGAGGTTTTTTTGATCTCTCCTTCTCTAGCTAAGGATTGGGTTTGGCCTACTGTAAACACTTCCGAAGTAAATCTGCTGGAGCACACCAGCACATGAAATGGTTAAATGAATTATGGGCCGCACTGGACAAAGCAGGGATGTCTTAAATTATTGATTTTAAGAGATTACCTGAAATAAAGTCTCACTATTGACATTTGAAAACATCTGAGTAATGAGCGTTTGCGGCCCGTTATATAGATAAGGGGTCTCTCATTCTGTCTTTCTGTTATTCCCAAGAGTTGCTTGAGTATGAAGAGAGCTTAGCCCAAAAGGTGGCCAGCATGACCGTTCTGGAAAAAGCCAGGCACAGCCTGCAGGTTCTGGTTTGATGGGGATGACATTTCAGCTTTCCTCAGAACCTGCCTTGCCTTGCCTTGCCTTGCCT